GATGAGTCAGGGTACATATAATGTTTGTATTGATGAGTCAGGGTACATATAATGTTTGTATTGATGAGTCAGGGTACATATAATGTTTGTATTGATGAGTCAGGGTATATATATAACATCTGTATTGGTGAGTCAGGGTACATATAATGTTTGTATTGATGCTTCACGGTATGTATAACATCTGTATTGATGCTTCACGGTATGTATAACATCTGTACTGATGCTTCAGGATATATATAACATACGTACTGATGCTTTAAGGTCCGTATAATGTCCATATTGATGCTTCAGCGTATGTATAATGTCCAACAGACAATTAGATATATATACACATACTAAGACACTGAAAGATAGTGCTTAAAATAGAAATAAAATTTGATTTCTCCTTAAGTACTAAATGTTCAACATTTAAAACATTAATCATTCTAGAATAAATGTTGTTTACATTTCATGGCAGCCAACCTGTTTCTGCTGATTCGTTGTCAAGTAACACCAAGAAGATTTTGGAGGAGATTACTCGTTGTTTAAACTTGGAGAAACTTCTGCCTTGTTATAAGTATACCATCACTGTTAGGTGAGAAGTCATAATGTATACAGCTGTTACTTTAGTTTAAGTTCATTATTCACAACTAATCTTTTTCTCTTATCCAAACTTAACTTTGAACAGGAATTTAACTGTTAACTTTAACTGTTTTTACAGAGAGATTTTGGTTTCTGTTTACAAACATCAGCTATATAAAGGTTATCTGGAAAGCAGGTTGTAGTATACTCTACAGTTTTCCATATCTCAGTCTTAGATTGATATCTTGATCTCATTCTTAGATACATATCTTGATCTCATTCATAGATACATATCTTGATCTCATTCTTAGATACATATCTTGATCTCATTGTTAGATACATATCTTGTTCTCATTCTTAGATTGATATCTTGATCTCATTGTTAGTACATATCTTGATCTCATTCTTAGATACATATCTTGATCTCATTCTTAGATACATATCTTGATCTCATTCATAGATACATATCTTGATCTCATTCATAGATACATATCTTGATCTCATTCATAGATACATATCTTGATCTCATTGTTAGATACATATCTTGATCTCATTCTTAGATACATATCTTGATCTCATTCTTAGATACATATCTTGTTTTGAAAAAGGTAATTAAAAGTTATATCACAATGTGATGTGGTGAAAACAAACATTCACATATATTACACCTGGATGTGGTGAAAACAAACATACACGTATATTACACCAGGATGTGGAGAAAACAAACATACACGTATATTACACCGGGATGTGATGAAAACAAATACACGTATATTACACCGGGATGTGATGAAAACAAACATACACGTATATTACACCGGGATGTGGAGAAAACAAACATACACGTATATTACTACCAGGATATGGTGAAAACAAACATACACGCACCACATCCGGTGTAATATACGTGTATGTTTGTTTTCACCACATCCTGGTATAATATACGTGTATGTTTGTTTTCACCATATCCTGGTATAATATATAATATACGTGTATGTTTGTTTTCACCACATCCCGGTGTAATATACGTGTATGTTTGTTTTCACCACATCCCGGTGTAATATACGTGTATGTTTGTTTTCACCACATCCAGGTGTAATATACGTGTATGTTTGTTTTCACCGGGATGTGGTGAAAACAAACATACACGTATATCACACCTGGATGTGATGAAAACAAACATACACATATATTACACCAGGATGTGGTGAAAACAAACATACACGTATATATCACACCGGGATGTGTTGAAAACAAACATACACATATATTACACCAGGATGTGGTGAAAACAAACATACACGTATATTACACCGGGATGCGGTGAAAACAAACATGCACGTATATTACACCAGGATGTGGAGAAAACAAACATACACGTATATCACACCTGGATGTGGTTAAAACATACACACACATATATTACACATGGATGTGGTGAAAACAAACATACACGTATATTACACCAGGATGTGGAGAAAACAAACATACACGTATATTACACCGGGATGTGGTGAAAACAAACATGCATGGTGGGAATGTATTGCTGCTAGAACTGTAGGTGTTTTTCATTAAATAAATCATAACTGTAAGTTTAAAAAATGACAATAAGATAATTTGTAAGATGAAATGAGATTTAGGTGCCCATTTGGAATTCCTTTTAGTTGTTTGAAAGCCATTCGAAGACTTCAAAAAATGGGACACCTTCCGAGCCATTCCTTGATATTTCGAGAATATGCTGCCTACGGACAGTTCATTGACGTCAGGATGGCAGCCTTAGAAGCCTTAGTAGACTTTATCAAAGGTAGGCTTTTTATAACTCTTCAATAAACTTAATTATCTGGGTTCTAAGAAAGCTGAGTAAAAGATATCACAAAAGGGTTTGAAAACAACATCTTTTTTTATACTGAGAGGGAAAAATAATTTAATATTACTAATTTATGTATACAGAGAGTATGCCGTAGCAAACCTTCAAATTAAAGATTTTAATTTTGTTTTACTTGATGCAACTCTTTAACGGACTTTTATACCACAGATACATTGATTAAAGTAGTCAACACTTTAAACCAGTGGTCCCTGGACCCATGGGGGTCCGCGAAGGTAAAGAAGTAAGTTTTTAATACTGCTGTTGTTTTATTCGCTCACTCAGTTATATTAGTATCATATTTGATAGTGAAAAATGGGAAAACAAGTTAATTATTAGTTAATAAAGGCTTAGGCTTACAGATATCAATGTTTCTGAATATAAAGCTTAGGCTTAGAGATATTATAATGTTTCTGAATATAAATGCTTAGGCTTAGAGAAGTCATAATATCTCTGAATATAAAGCTTAGGCTTAGAGATATTATAATGTTTCTGAATATAAATGCTTAGGCTTAGAGAAGTCATAATATCTCTGAATATAAAGCTTAGGCTTAGAGATATTATAATGTTTCTGAATATAAATACTTAGGCTTAGAGAAATCATAATATCTCTGAATATAAAGCTTAGGCTTAGAGATATTATAATGTTTCTGAATATAAATGCTTAGGCTTAGAGAAATCATAATATTTCTGAATATAAAGACTTGGACCTCTAATGGTTTTAAAAATTTTAATAGTTTTAGGGAAACAAGAAGACTTGAACTTTCTTTTGGACATGGCAGAAAGTGATCCTGTTCCTTTCATCAAGTACGTGTTTCTTTTCTTTAACAAATAGCTCGAAAAGGAAATTTAAAAAAATTAAAAACTTAAGTCAAATGAGTTTTGAACAATATTCTTACTTACATGGCTAGTTCTCTCCCTGACTTTTTATTATACCAGAATGGGGATCAGTAGGATTCTAAAGCTTATGATCCTTTTCATGGTATGTTCTGAGTTTGTGTTTTAACTGGATTGGAAAAGATAAGAGTAGGCTAATCCAAGTGTGTTATCATCCATTTGTTTTTGTTATTATTTTATACAAGCTTTCCAATTTTGAAGTAGCTGTTATCAAGCAAACACACAATTGGTATTTTAATTACAGTTATAAAAACACCTTAATCTAGATAAGACATGAAATAAATAGGTTGGTTTGTCCCTCACTAACTAGTTAAAACTATATTTTGTCAGTTCCCACCACAAAGTAACTAATTAGATTGTGTCAGTTCCTACTATAAAATAACTAACTGGATTGTGTCAGTTCCTACTATAAAATAACTAACTGGATTGTGTCAGTTCCTACTATAAAATAACTAACTGGATTGTGTTAGTTCCCACCATAAAGTAACTACCTGAATTGTGTCAGTTCCCACTATAAAATAACTAGTTGGATTGTGTCAGTTCCCACTATAAAATAACTAACTGGATTGTGTCAGTTCCCACTATAAAATAACTAACTGGATTGTGTCAGTTCCCACCATAAAGTAACTACCTGAATTGTGTCAGTTCCCACTATAAAATAACTAGTTGGATTGTGTCAGTTCCCACTATAAAATAACTAACTGGATTGTGTTAGTTCCCACCATAAAGTAACTACCTGAATTGTGCCAGTTCCCACTATAAAATAACTAGTTGGATTGTGTTAGTTCCCACCATAAAGTAACTAACTAGATTGTGTCAGTTCCCACCATCAGGTAACTAACTGGATTGTGTCAGTTCCCACTATGAAATAACTAACTGGATTGTGTCAGTTCCCACTATAAAATAACTAACTGGATTGTGTTAGTTCCCACCATAAAGTAACTAACTGGATTGTGTTAGTTCCCACCATAAAGTAACTAACCTACTGGATTGATTCACTTCCCACCATAAAGTAACTAACCTACTGGATTGATTCACTTCCTATCATAAAGTAACTAACCTACTGGATTGATTCACTTCCTATCATAAAGTAACTAACCTACTGGATTGATTCACTTCCTATCATAAAGTAACTAACTGGATTGATTCACTTCCTATCATAAAGTAACTTACTAGATTGATTCACTTCCTATCATAAAGTAACTAACTTACTAGATTGATTCACTTCCTATCATAAAGTAACTTACTGGATTGATTCACTTCCTATCATAAAGTAACTTACTGGATTGATTCACTTCCTATCATAAAGTAACT